TATGAACGCTCAGAATTATGTTGTGGAAAATGCTTGAATTTTGGTAAGAAGTTGAGGGGTTACAAATGTATACCGATTCTACCCTTGTTGATTAAATAAAATGAATATTAATTATTTTTTAATTTTTAATTTCCTAAAATAAAATAATATAATCTAGGCCATTGATCAAGAAAATGGACGGATGAGATTGGTTTACACTGTTTACACAAATGGGTCAAGTTTTCATTTGAACGCTCCTCTATATATATATATATATTAAAATAAGAACCAAGAGGTAATTAGGTGCATCATGAGAATTAAGTATTGAAGTGTTGGTGAATTGTGGTTGAGTTTGAGATATCTCACTTTGATGAAAGATTGAAGATTGGAATAAATAGATGTGTATAAGGAAGAAAAAAAGATGAAATTCATTGCGTCAACTCAAGAGGCTTAACTCATAAAGTTGACTTATTTGGATGACTCTCTTTTGCAAAACAAATCTTATTATATAAAAATAAATTGTGTTTACAACCATCAATATATATATATATATATATATATATAGAGAGAGAGAGAGAGAGAGAGAGCTTGGTTCAAATGTTAACCAAGATTATTGTGTTAACTTTGTTAACCAAGCTCAACCAATGAAAATCAATCTTTTCTTTAGGTTCAATACATATCATATGTTAATGACAAGGGTAATTAAGTAATTTTACCATTTTGTGTAACTCCCATATCATTAATTGAGAGTTACAAAATATAAAAATCTCATAATTGATGATGATTTATTATTGATCTTGTTTTTCAATTTGTGATTATTTTTGAAATTTGATTTATCTATCTATAATGTTATTGAATTTGTGATTGTTAAAGGATTTTTGATATTAAAGTTTTCGATATCGTCCAAGCTAATATGGATAAACCCATTGGAAAATAGATCGACAACAATGGGAATGAGAATGTTAAAATGGTTTACTATGACAATCGGACTTCGAGTTCCAGAAGTGAAGACAATGATGAAAGCATTTGTATTGGTAATGGATTAATATGATATAGCATTTGTTTTAATCGACAGTTCTCACCTTTGACAGTTCTCACTTATCCTGCAAAAAAAGTGACTGCAGCTAACCTGTTGAACAGCTTCTGTATATTCAGGAGCTGGCTCTGTTGAGAGATTCAATCAGTTTATAGGTGAAGACATATGAAGTTAACACATAGTGCATTAGATATTCATATGAAGACATAGGGAGACACACAGACATATGAACACATCAGAAATCACACAGCCTTAGATGATGTGATTCATAAGTGTTCATGTCTATTCAAATCACTAGATGTTCATATGAATTCATATACACACACAGAGAACATGTGAAGACATGTGAGCACGTATGGAAACATACAACCCTAGATGTCTTGGTTCATACGTGTTCATGTACATACAACAGAGTTGGCTCCTGAATATACAGAAGATGTTCATACGGTTCACATGATGTTCATATATATATATATATATATATATATATACATATGTGTGTGTGGTGGGTGGGTATGTTCATATGGTTCTTATATTAACAAAAAGAATGAGATTTTTTTGATTTTGTAACTCCCAATTAATTATATGGGAGTTATATAAAAAAAAATTACCTAAATACCCTTTTCCTCTTTGATCACATATGTTTTTTGAAATTATAAATTTAATAAATTAATTTTTTATCATGGTTAATCACAACCATTCCATTTATTGTAAGAATCAATGGCCAAGATTGGTTTAACAAAGTTAACACAATAATCTTGGTTAACATTTAAACCAGCCCCTATATATATATATATAT